CTAAGAGGGCAAGAAAGAAAGATAGGGGTAGTTACGAGGCCCACTTAGTTAAATGAAAGTAGAGCGAGCGGGACATTTGTCTTAAACCGCCCGGGTAGCTAGCAATAGGCTAGGAGAAACAGAAGGAAAGGCACCAACACACAAGTGTGTTGAGTGCGATTTCCTTCTGTTTCCCAAGTAGCGGGTGGGGTAGCAACGGAGGCCCAAAATTAGGGAGGGGAAAATGCACGATTAATTCGTCCGGCCTGTGAGTACTTAGCAGCACATGCACATGTGAATACTTAGCCGTTGCAAGCGTTTCGAAACTGTCAGTTCCCGTGGTGAGGCCCGGCGGCCGTTGTGGCAGTTAATTCGGTGGTTGTGGAGGTGACTTCCAGTGGAGTTCCTGTGAAAGGTGGTGAGACAGCGCCCCAATGACGGGGATCACACTCAGCACCCGAGTGGGACGGCTGAGCGAAACACACTCTGACACTTGTATTCAGTTAACTCAGTTCCCAGGTCGAAAATGGTGATGGAACGGCATGGCGAAAAGTCCAGGAAAGTGTAGGTGTTTTAACAACATGGTTTTCGCACGTGACTGCGGAAAGCGCACAGCGGCAAAGCGGCTGCAGGTCTGCGGTGGGAAACCTGTGTTTGGGGGGAAGTAGCATGAAGGACAATGAACCAAAGCGTGGAAAGTGGCGTCACAGCTTGAAAACAGTTCTCGTTGCAGGTACAGGAATGTGCGTCCACATTTTCTTGCGGCTGAATCCCATAGCTTCGTTGGCATGGCTAGGGAAACAGCTGCCATGCCCCCTGCATTCAGAACTCTTAGTTACAGAGGCGGAACCCTTAGATACAGGGGGTGACACACACACACACCGCCTTCAAGGAGGTGTAAATGGGTGTGAACTGGCATGGGTCAAAACTCTCCCGACGATGGGTCGATCTCCTAACAGGTTGCAGCGTGGCATCAACAAAGCCAGTTCCCTCCAAATATAGACGTCTTAATTATCAATTTATTTGGCCAAGCTCTTCTTGCATTCCACCTGTGTAGTTCCAGAGCTGCTAGAGTGCAGAAACAGGAAACATCACTACAACCCCAAGATGGCCTCTGCAAAAGTGTTTTGTTGAAGGCAGACCCCTTCAAAGCTTAAAGTTCCTAAAGCCACCCTCGAAGTTGAAACCCTTCCTGTTTGCAGAGGGAAAGTCATCTGACCAACCGGTCCCATGCTCATCCACTTTGTGTCTTCATCAGAATGTTTTTGACGTTACAGTAAATGGTGGTTGATCAATATTCTTTTTTCCTGGAACGGCCATTCTTCGCGGAATAAAGTATCTTTCGCGGCCTCATCACGAAGCATGGTCCCACAACCATGTCTAGCTAACATGAGCCGGACATGTCATAGTATCACAAAATAGGGACAGACATCTTGCAGCATGAATCCAGTAGAAGGTTGAGCGTTCCCACAGCTACTCAGGGTCACTCGCAGCATCTGTGTGACAATGATGCAGCTTGGGGAATGTTGGGGGGCCTCAAGCTGGAAACCTGGACTTTAGCGGCACATTCGCGAAGCTTTCGGGGATCTTTCGCGAAATTTCACTGGTGCTTTCCCCGGGAAGCCGTAACTTTTGCAAACATCTGCACATCCCGCACGAGCATCTGCAGGTCGTTGCCTGACTGTCAGGGCTGCGCCTGCTCAGGCTGCTAGTCTGCGACAGTTGGGACAGGAATCGGAGAATCCTTTACGCGCTGCCAGGGCTGGGCACGGAAATGTTGAGGCTTCAGTTCGTTAGTCTGTGACATATGGGGACACTTCCGCCCACCGGCTCTGCCGGAGGATTGCCTTGTATTTCTAGTCTTTGTCAGTCCGGTAGAAAGGAAAACATATGAAAGCGATGACCTTCGATAAATCTTTCGCGGAAAAAAAATAGATACTTTCGCGAACCTCATCGCGAATCTTTCGCGGATGGTTCTAACAACATCTGAAAGGCTGTTTTATATAAAACTCCTTACACGGGGTTTTCGATCAACTCCCAAATGCCAGTGATGTGAGGGCGAGAATCCGCAACTGAGTAAGATGACTAACTTACAGAAGCCATCAGAAGCCTGGCATTTCGTAACCCATGTCTATCCATTTGGGGACTACTATAGGCTATAGGTGATTAACTTCAGTCGGCCGGGACAACCTGTCCACTCCCCATTCCACCGCGCAGCTCCACGGAATGGACTTCGACGGCGACGAAGGGGGCACATGCCGCATCTGCAGCGACGAGACGGTGCAGGTCTTCGGTGAAGGCGGAAGGTCAAAGGGAAAGGTGAATCACATTTCTCAGCAGTGCTGGTGATATAATATTACATCCATGTGGTCCATGTGCTGTACACGATGAAAAGCCATACAGAAGCTATAGCTATCATAGTATGCTACAGTAATCATAAATTAACGTTGTGACGATCTGCGACCGTGAATTTGGACGTACGGTGCTGAAGCTCGTGCAGTGCGATATCCGCATCAGATGTGACATATGAAACCTCATGGCAACTCAACTCTTGAAAAAATCCAGTGGTTGGTGCTTTCAACTCACTTGAAAATCTTGAAAACTATATTGCTATATTATTTATATATATACAGTATATTCTATGTATGTATATATATATATATATAGTCAGTGGGTTCAATCATCCCAAGTAAGGGTTGAACATAAAACTATCTGATACCGCCCAGTCATTGATCATAGTCATAGGGGGCAGCAAGTCTAACACCCCAACACCCGTAAGCACCTGTTCTCCTGTTGATCGGTGTTTTCCCCCATGCAGGTCAATGGATCGACCTCCCCAGTTGATCAGCCCGAACCGACATCAGGTCTCCAAACCTTGGCCAGATTTGGCCAATGAAGGAGATGGAAACGAAGTGAACCATTCGATGATTTGGCTTCGTGCACCACCCAGCACATTCAGCACGGGTGGTGCAGTCAGAGAGAAAACGCCAAAGCTTCTGGGTGCATCAATCACTCCGACAAACAGAAGTGGAATGGAATAGATGAACGTGCACAGAAGAGGAACATTGTGTCAGCTGTTCATTTCATCCCTTTTCATCCCTTCTGCTCGCGAACGCCAAAAAAATAGCGGTGCGAGACACAACCAGCCAGCGCCTTGGCCCGCAGCTCTGGCCTTCGGAGAAGCCTTGGGGCGGTGGAAGGCTCGATTTGCATGGGATTTGCTCGAGGTACACTCTGGACGAACACATCATGGTCCATTAGTTGACGACATGGTCCATGAGTCGAGCGACTTTCGCTCGACTCTCCCGTCATGTCCACGTCCATGCTAGTGAGGCGGAGGGTCTATGAAACAAATTGGTGATGGACGGAGTGACGCTGCCTGACTTGGACTGGAGAAAATTGGATTTCCGTTTTTGCGATGCGCGGCATCCAACACACAGTTATCATTGATTTCGCTAGTACATGTTACCGCTGCATTCATCAGGTTGCCAGTTGAATGCACCAACCTTTTTGCCTGTGGAACGATCAGGTTTCGTTCTTTGTCAAGGCAAGCTTCTGTTTTGGCGAGTATGACATTATGATCATCGTGGAAAGAGGCCTCCCCACAGTTGACAGTGTCTCTGCCTCTTTTGCGGCCTGGCGTCTCTTCACATATGACAGCCTCGAGCTCATCATCTTCCAGCTGCGACAAAGCAAATGCCGCCTGCGACAAAACCAACCGGTGCACAAAGCGTCTCATCATTCTCATCCTAGCGGCCACCGCCAACACATCTTGGCAACAAGCAAGCCTCACGTGCAGCATCGGCCCTCGCACATGACGGCGACCCAAGCGGGGGTCTTGTGGGGTGTGCACATCGGAGATGTCAACCAAACACCATGCCCAAACGACCAGAAGCTCTTCAAAAGCAGTGATTTTATGAGCTGGATGTGGAGAGTGGAAAGCTGAGGTACTGCCCCAGCAAGTTGAGTCATGGACACCCAGTATCAGTGGCCGCATATTCCTTCAAAGTCAAGGAGCTGGCCCCTTCGGGAACCAATCTCTCGAAACAGTTGTTTTCCTCATCTCTCCTCACACGTATTGATGTCAGTCAAAGTGTGAGTAGACCCGTCAAAACCACGGCTCAACTTGATTCAGCCGACGGAAATCACCAATAACGAATCTACCACGAATATCCAGTCAAATCCAGTCAAGTGTCCTCAAGATCCCTAAAGTGTCACGCAAACGGAAGATGTTCACAATGTGTTTTCCAAACGTATCCGAAAGTGCTATGTAAAGGAGATGTGTTCAACATTGTTTAACCCCCTTCTAAGATGTCGTACCCAGGTACCAAAAGGACCTCAAACTGTTCCAAGACATCCCTTTAGACCATTTCTGCTTACCCCTTTCGGCCCCAGCCGCAGCCGCTGCCTGCCTGCTCTCGGGCACTTTCGGTCAACGGCGGCGGCGGTGGTGGCAACGGTGGTGGCGGGGACCGAGGAGCGTTCAGCACACCTGGGCCGGTTCGGAGCGTCGCGTCGCTCCGCCGTGTCCGTCCAAAGCATCTCCCGCGGTGTTCATGTGTTTTTTTCCATGTTTGAAGCACCAGTTCATCAACAAAGCTGGCCGGAGGCTTGCCCATGGCCGTAAATGGTTTACCCATGATTCCCTGATTTTGCTTTGGGGGGTTCTGACGCGTGTAACTCAACTGCAAAACATGGATCTGCAATGACCTATATCGTCCGAATGACCTTCATTCACCGTCTACTATGGTTGTAAAACTTGACCTTCAAGCACTGCCAGGGCTGGCGTCATCCTCATAGATTTGGACACCAAGGAACAGTACTTGGGAAACCATCCGCGTTCGCCCGCCGAAGTGCCATAGAGCCAGTCTGGCTCATCACTGCCTCCTGGCGTAAGGCTCATCATGAGCTGACAATCAATTCATTCAAACACTCTTGGAAGCTAGCCTTTCTTGGGCGAAATTAGCAGAGAAATCCGTTGAACACTCTCAGACATGTTTTTTTGGGGGGTTGATCGTCGAAACGGATCCTTTTTGCTGCCCCCGTGATTGTTGAAGGAGGTGCAATATATAAACAAATCCAAATAGGTCCAACACTTGTGGCCCAGGGGGGGTGGCGAAAGCTAGGGAGGGACAAGTGGTTGGGGAAGGAGAGAAGGAAAGAAGCGGGGAGAATTGCGTTGAAGTGCAAGTGCACGAATATGTGTGTGGTAGTAGCGTTGGTCTTCACTTGGCACCTCATAGCTTCTTGCTCCGAGTAGCGTCCTTGTTCCTAGTAGTAGAGCCAGGAGCCCCTAGTAGCTTTGTTGCTCCTAATGTGTGTGGTATATTGCTTGGTTCTGCAAACTTGTGCAATACCATCGCATGGCAGCGGGAGTGGGGG